CTCTGAAAGAGCCAGTGATGCTTATAAACATCTTCAGAACTTAGTTAATTCAACACTTACTGTCTACTGGGAACTGGACTTTTGCTTCCATTGGATGACTTCATTTAATCCTCACAAAATGATTAAAATTAGGCAGGTAAGATCAAATCCCATTTTACAGAGGGAAGCAATAAGGCTTAATGTTTATGTGATTGCTATAAATCTACAGAGTTAATAGGTTGCAGAGCCAGGATTTGACTCTGGACAGCCTTTGCTTGTAAAACCAACCCAACACCTACCACGTGACAAAATGTTTAACCCTCAGGATGGTCGATGTTTAACATACATCATCTAAAGTAATTCATACAACAAACATCTAAAACAATTCTTGTCAGTGTCCTTCCTGTACACGTGAAATAACAAACTACTCAAGGTTATTTCACTGGCCCAAGGCCATAAAGTTCTTAAAAATTCTCTTAAACACCAACCAATTTACCTCTAACCATAATACAACTACCTTAATGCAATTGGATATAGCAGCATCTGAAATATAAAGAACTTCAGAGTATTTTTCTGATGATGATGATCACACGTTTTCCATAAAGGCTAGGATTATAAATACTGTAGCTATAAAGATCCTATGGTGTCTTTTGAGACAAATGAACTCTGCTTCTGAGCACGACAGCAGCACAGACAATGTGTGAACAAGTGGGTCTGGCTGTGTCCTGATGGGGAAATAGGTAACAGGGCCGTCTGACACACGACCATGGTCTGCTGACCCCTGATCATTATTATCATTTAGGTAAATATTTTAAAATTTAGGAAATGCTCAGTAATGAACCAATGATATAGCAAAGGAATGCACCTTTACAAGGGAAGACACACCGCACCAGTGTGCATTTATAAACAAAAGGAAAAGGAAAAGCACCATCTTGACAACAGTGCAGTGGAAATATCCTGTTGGGGCTGATCCACACCCTGGTCTCAGCAGGGACCAGCCCTGTAACCATGGGCAACCCAGAAAACATCTCTATAGACCTTCGTTGTCCTGATTCATGGGAGTGGCCCCTCTGAAAATTCCAGATTCCCAGCCTTATCTGCTACTGCACAGTAATAGCCATTCCCCCATGATACCCCCGCCTTGTCAGTACCTTGCAAAGAGCAGGGGGAAAAGGAGTTATCTGCTGGGTCAGTAACATAAGAATAATAACAAAGTGATTCTGATTGGACAAAAGAAGCTAGATGCAATCATAAATTTAAATTATATCTTTTATCACAACACCCACATTTAATCAGTTTTGAATTCATGGTTGATCAGAAATGACCCTGATGTCTTGGGTTTAGGAGGTCATTCCTCCATAAAACACAGGATGTTAGGAACAAGTACCTAAATGTACTCCTGTTTTACTCCTCTGGGTATTGGCTTATTCCACTGGATCAATACCCAAGTTTCTCTTAACAACAAAAACAATAAATCCTGGAAGCCAGTTGGGTGTTTGTGCAAGTGAGCTGACTTTCAAACAATACGTTTCTCCTCTGGAACCATTCATACTACCAGAGCTGACATCTTCCACTTTGGTGTCATTGATTTTAATACAAGACTGGAAATTTTATGAGCACACTGAAATGTCCTATATTTTTCTTCCCCAAGAACTAAAAGCCAATTTCTTTCAGATTTTAACAGGTTGCAAAAGTATGTGGGTTTTTTTTTTTTTATGAAGCCCATTAAGGACTCGTATTAGTAGCAATATGTTGGTAATGAAGAAACAATTTTCTTATTAAGTATGCTTGTAAATCACATTTTCTCTCGGGCACTGAAACATTAACATTGAAAATTAGATTGTAAGCTTCTTTTCAATATCTCTTCTTTGCAAGTCACTTCCAATTTATAATTTTAGCACAGGAGCAGATGACTTGTAATTAGAGTTTTACAAAGTTAGCTGTTGCTCTTAATCAGGGAAGGACAAAACTTGCTTTTCTCGACCAGTGACCTGGAAGGGAGGGCTTTGCAGCTGCCCATTTACCATCTGAAACTCCTACTTCTTTAGGAATTAGCTAGAAATACAGAAAACCCTCTGACATGGACACAACGTATACACCATAACATATTTCTTTTTTCAGATCTCCATTCCCAGAAAGACTTGTCTGAAAGTCAACTTTTGTCCACATAGGAGTTTCATATGGGTGGTTGCGTAGAACAGATGCCCATTTAAGCCTCTTCTATTTCTGGCATTAACAGTTGATACCCAAAATGACCAGTTGTTTGCTTTTAGAAAGTTACTTTTATTGTTTCTTTTGTCAGCAACATTATTAACTTGTTAGCTTTTAAAGCTAGTTTCTTTTTTCTTACCTGTAGCCTGTATTTTTTTTTTCAATTCTCTTTTAATTGCCTTTGCCTTCCTATAGAAAAAAACTATAATATATGTACCTCTGTGTTCTTCTATTTTATTATCTCATAATGCTACATTTAGAAATGAAAGCAAAAAGAACGGGACTTTTGCAGAAAATAAAAAGACCGTATTATCTCAAGAGACATTTGTCTTGGTCTGGAATATGGGAATTAAGTGTACATAAATTATGTCATTCCTCTTTACCCATTCCTTTAAGTGCAGTAACATCCAAACAAAATCTCTTCATTGCTTTTACCAACAAAATCTTCAGCTCATTGTGGGTCCTGAAATGATCGCTTCAGTTAATATCTACACTTGATTGTCTGGTATGGAAGCTCTCCACATTTCAGTCCTAACCTAATTTCCTGGAACTCTATTATGTAAGATGCCTGCTCTAATTTATGTTGGACAGGCCCTGTTTCTCAATCAAATAATGTACTTTTCCATGGCACCATATTGGTTTTGCCTGCCATTCCTGCTGACGCTAACATATGTATGTACCTTCCCATGGCACCATATTGGTTTTGCTTGCCATTCCTACTGACTCTAGTGTATGCTGTAACAAAATTCATTGATAGACTCACCATCTGCTTTCTGGTTCAACTTGAAATGCCATTTCCTCCATAGAACCATGTCTCATCAATCTCTTACTCTTTAAAGTAGTTCTGAACTCCTAATTTTTTACAGCACAGATGTCTTGGTATTTCTTTGACTTGAATTTCCTCCAAAGTTTTAAACATCCAGGATGGCCAGCTAGCCCGTGTTTTCATCCAGTGCTCCACTGAGACTAGCAAAATTGTCTGTACCAAACAAGTGCTCTAAAAACTAATGTTGAATAAATGGACATTAAGTATTATGCAAACAGTTTTCTTCACAGAAAGCACAAGAATGTCAGTCCCATTTTTGCAGATTACTAGCTGCTGTAATTTGTAGTTAAACATGTTTTAGGTTTCAAGGAAACCCTGAAAAGGAATCTGTCTTTCCCTGATAGGAAAATTTTATTTGGCCAGATTTGCCATGGATGTCTAGGAAGCATATGAAAAATGAATCCTGGGAAAAAATTCTTTGGATATTTAAAAATAGTGGCTCAAACAAACTGTGTATTTACTTAAATGTGTCTGTATTACAGAAGCCCTTACATGCTATATTGAATAAGAAGCCGTCACTGAGTAGGGAAAATGATAGTGAAACATCTTACATTATATATTCTTTCGTTAAAATAATACTTGATATGGATTTTAAGTTAACTCTGAATAGTCAACTCAGAATAATCTCAGTTTTAAAAGCCAGAAGTTCAACATGGATCTCAAAAACACTATGTTAAGTGAAAGAAGCCACACACAAAAGTGCATGTCTGACTCCATTTACATTAAATGTCCAGAAAAGGGAAATCTGTAGCCATGGAGAGTAGATTAGTTGCTGCTTGGGGCTGGAGGTGAGAACAGGGATTAACTGGGAAAGAGTGTGAGGGATTTTATCAGGATGATGAAAATGTTCAAAGACTTGGTTATGATGATAGTAGCATAATTTGGTCAATTTATTAAAGCCACTGAATTAGATACACTTAAAATGAGTGAATTTTTATGATATGCAGATTATACTCAGTAAAGCTGTAAAAAATGCAATGAAGGGAAGACGGTACTACAGATAATTAGGAATCTACTTGAGGCAGAGAAAATCACCCATTTGCAGCTCCAATTTAACAACAGAGCTGCAATCATTTTACCTTCATAAAAAGTAAGAGAAAGACTGGCAATGTTATAACACTTGTGGAGAGATTTTTAGAAGTATTTCCAATACATTAAACCTCAATAATTCTGTATATAGTCAATCTATCTTTTACTACACATACCCTTTAAGAAACTCAATCTAACAATTTAGCAGTTGCTATAATAATGTCTGGTTGTTTTAATATAAACTGCATGCTTGGTTCTGTTTCATGGAGAAAAGAAGGTCTTTTAGTCTATTCAGTTAAAAATATTCTCAACAGGAACATTGATTCAACAGAAAAAGGTCATTTGAGATAGTAAAACTAATCTAGTCACTTACCCTAATAAAACAATGTAAACACAACACAATCATCCAAGGTAAGTTTCCCAGCAAAAAAAAATATACTTGCCAAAACTACTTCTTTAATGAAATCTAATCATACTTACTCAAAGATTTTTTTGGGAAAATCTTTATACCGTACTGTACCATATTGTGTAAATTCCAGTCTTTACCACCCAGGAGATAAAATTGTACGTGGTGAACTAGGTGACAGACAACAGAGAGGAATAAAAATCAAGTCCCAGGAGAATACCATGGGGTCACCTCACTGCGCCTTTGTCAAATGAGATGACACCTGGTTAGGTCAAGTTTTGTAGAACAAGTTGGGATTTACTAAACTAAATACAAAAAAGGGCACAGAATAGACTGTATAATCAGGATTTCATGTCATTTGAAATGAATTACTGGTTTGCTTCCTAAACTAAAAAAAGTTGAACAAGCACAGGAAGACTTGCTGTTCTGAATTTTCATTTTTGGATGGAGAAGGCAGTGTGGCAGGGTGGACAGAAATTTCAAACTCTGATATGACCATTTTCTTTTTCCCAAGAAATACAAAGAAAATTCAAGTCAACAGTGGATTACCTCGGACTACCTCTTCCACAGACTCTGTGGTGGTGGTGGTGGTCGTGGCGATGCTGGTGGTTCTCTCCGTAGCCTCTTCATAGGGTTCCTCTGCCTCTTCATCTGCCTCATCGCCATCCTCATCATCCTCGTCATCCTCAGCTTCTTCCTCCACGTCAGCCACTTCCTCCTCCTCTGCTACTTCCACCACTTTGTCTTCACTGAAACAGGAAATGAAAATAACAGAAGTCACTTAAACAAACTTCAGGAAAGAAATAATGTCGAAGAATCTTGGTAATCTGCAGGGAAAGGAGGCATCCAAGAAAATATACAGAGGAGGCTTGAAACCAGCAGGTCATGCATGACTCCAGCTTAGCAGGTCTTCATCATTTGACCCTTGGGTCTAACTTTTCTTAGTTTACACAATTGCAGTAACGGGGATACATGATTCCACTCTATAACATTGTTTTGCTTTTTTTTTTTTTAAAGATATATTATTTACTTATGCATACAAAAGCTGGGGTATAGGCCAGAGGTGGGGGGATTGAGGAGTCACCAGAGACAGAGCGGGGAACAGAACAGACAGATCGACTGAAGTACACTGCTGAGGGGAGAAGCAGGCGAGAAAGGAAAGGTCTGCTGCTTCCTGTGGGTCAGCTCCCTGGCTGGGGATCAAATTCATGCTGCAGAGGCTGTGGACAGCTTCGCAGGCTGCATCTTAACCCCTTGAGCCACCAGGGAGGCCCCACTCTACGACACTGTTGAAGGCAAAATGAGAAGACCACAGGAAACTGGTGGTTGCCAGAAGCTTGGGGTTAGGAAGGGAAGGATGGAAAGGCAGAACAGGGGATTTTTAGGGCAATGTACTGATGCTCTATGATGCTGGATCAAAGTAGATACACTGCCTTATACACTTGCCTGTCCCCACAAAACTGTACAACATAAAAAGTAAACTCTAACGGAAACAATGAATTTGAATTAATAATATCATTTCAACATTGATACAACTATACCATGCTAATACAAAATGTCAATAAAAGGGGAAGCAGAGGGGGTAAATGGGGAGAGGGGCAGAAGGGAAAATTTCCTGCTCTTTTTCTGTAAACCTGAAACTGCTCTAAAAAATTATCTACTAAAAAGGGTTGCGTGGGGAGAGTTACCAAAAAGGAGTTTATTGTATTGAGGGGGTTACTTTCAATAAAGTATAGAAGAAAACCACACAGCACCTACATAGTAGATATGTATAGGTGGAAATATGTTTAAATATTGCTACTGAAAGTTGAAACTGGAAATAAATGAAGAAGAAACTGGCTGAAATCAATCTAAGACCCAGGGGTTGAGGAAGTCTACTGGAACTATCCAGGTGTATACTCTGCTCTTGCTAATTGAGGTAACTGGGTAGATAAACAGAGATTTCAGTTTCTCAAATTTCAGTAAATATCAGCATCACCTGGAAGGCTTATTAAAACACTTATCACCCAGTGCCCATCCCCAAGCCTGATTCAGTAGTCTGAGTTAGGGCCTAAGAATCAGCATTTCTAACATGTTCCCAGGTGATACTGATGCTGGTGGCTGCAAGACAATCATTCTGAGAACTAGTGAGATATGCAATACCGAGGATTACATTAACAGTCGGTCAACTGATTGGAAAGAGAATCAGAAATAATACTTATGATGTTAAATATACACTCAAGTGCAGTGGTGAGTAATAAAAGTTAGCTCATCTGGAAGGCAAAAGAAGGGCATGTTTGGAGCACAACTAGAAGGTCCTAGTAAGGCCATACACCTGCTGGTGCATACCTGGTGGAGAGCATCTGAAAAATGATAAATGAAGATAGGTGCGTAAGTGTTAAACAGTGAAAGTGGATCACTTGGTGGCACAAGGGGTTAAGACACAACTTATGAAGCTATTCACAGCCACTGCAGCATGAGTTCAATCCCCAGCGCAGTAGACCTCTCCTGGCTCACCCGCTGCTCCCCTCAGCAGTGTACTTCGGTCGATCTTCCCTACTCTGTCTGTTCTGTTCCCCACTCTGTCTCTGGTGAATCCTCTCACCCCCACACCTCTGGCCTGCACCCCAGTTCTTGTATGCATAAATAAATAAATCTTAAAAAAATAAAAAATAAAAGTGGATCGCATGCTAGCTGGCCAGATAGGAGAAATCAATCATTCTTCTTTGATCATATTGCAAAGCCAACATAGGAAAAAGACCTTGATGTGGTGAAGGATTTTGACTTAACCGGAGTTAACTGCTACAAGTCTTATTTGACAAGAAGTAGCAGAGTGATGGGACTGAGGCTGCGAGGTGGGCATTTACCCAGAAAATGGTGAAGGCAGATGATGAATTATTACCCCAGAAGGGATTCTGACCTACAAAATGTTATTGTTGGGAGGTGTGAGAGGGGCCTGGAGAGTGTGTCAGCTACAACCTGAAGCCTGACAGTGCGGTGTGAGCTCAGCAGTGCAGAGGGAAATCAGCCTTCCAATAGGTTAGACAAACAGAGCAGTAGGCTTCCATGACCTAGGAAGAGAGTCAGGAAGACTGCAAAAGGCATTCAGAACTGAAGATCTGACAGGTCAGAGACAAGTAATTTTACTGAGGGTGAAAAAAAGGGAAAGATGCATAAGGAGATGAATATAGCAGGAGGGGGAATTTCTTGATTAACTCAGAATTTTCTGATTTTTAAAAAGGTATACCAAAATATGTAGGACCCCTTCAATAGACTGCCTTCCTAAATGATTAAATTAGGTTCATCTGATACAAGGATTAAATCTGATGCAAGGATAATAATGAAAACATCCAAAGATGTTGACGCATGTGGCTAGAGAAAATGAGAAACTTCTTAAGCAGACTACATTAATAACTTATTAGTATGCTCGCAAGTGAGGTATTAATACACAAAAGATCCAAACTGGTTATTAAGACTGTGAAGAAACAGGTCAGAAACAAAGGCATTGATAATCAGGTGGTATAAGCCTTCATCTCCAGAGATAAATGCAGTGGAATCTTGATTTCTTGATTGTCCGAATTCCTACATAGAAATCTACCACTTGAGATCCCATTTCAAAAAGAATTCTAAACTGAACAGTTGGTCAGATGCCCGAAGTTTTACCCAGTACACTGTCTCCCCATTCTCCTGTAGAAACTATGGGTTGCACCACTGGTGAGCAGAATAAAGATGACCCGGAGCTTGTCTTTACACCACTTTGTTGAGTGTGAGCTGTCCTCTGTGCTCCATCACATCACAGCCACCAATACTATTTAGTTCTTCAACTGAAGTGGAAAATTCAGGAAAAGCCAGAGAGAAAAATCAAATCAAACCAGCATTCTCTTGACACCACAAAGCATGCACGCTCCCTTGAAGCATGCAATGTAATGACAGGGTCCAAGAGGTGAATGCCTGGTGCTTCCAGTGCAGACGGTGAGAACATGGCCCTGGGCACCCCCAAGGGAAGTCCCCCCCAGTTGCTCTGCTATAACTCAAATGTTGCACTCAAAACTCCAAAGCAAAGACATGCTCATGAAAACAGCTGTGTTTAAAGTGATCTGCATTCTGGGATGTGTCCAGCCATGAAAAAGACAGAACTACATGCCCACCATCCATCACTGCATCTGGCCTAACAATTTACCAGCGAAATCACCAGGCACGAAGATCCATAATAGTTCAACCGGCTGAGGAATTAAATTACTTGGCCTAAGAGAACACGGGTCTAGTTCTTATTACCATAGCTTTGATTTCTGGAATTAAATTTAGATGCCCATGAATTCAATTATCTGTTGGAACACTATTAAAACAGTAGCACACAGTTATGTTTTAATGATACTGCATCCTTCCCAGGAATGCCATGACAAAGTTTTCACAATTTACAGGAAATGCAGAAAAGGGGAAAAATGACTTGCACCTTCTCTTTCATTGTTCAGCGGCTTTGCTCTCTGGGGCGTCTCAGGTGAGCTGGTTGTGGGAAGCTGAAGACATGTGAAGACACAGTGAAAAGCTTGTTTGTGGAGACGCAGGGCTGAGCACCCTAACACATTTCTCTTATAAACAACCAAACAGCAACTCACAATAGAATATGCACTGGAAACACGGTAGAATCTTCCCCTCACATTCACACACTTTAGCACCTGTCAGTTTATAGCAGACAGCTGCTAAAGCTTTTAAATTCTGATAACGAGGAACATGTCTGCAGAATGAGGGCTCTATCTGCGAATGTTGATCATTCCAGGAGTATCTGAGTTTAATAAGGTCAAAGTGTCCAAGGGACATCACTGTGATGAAATAAATCACTGATGATAAAATTTTATGTGTCAGTAAGCAAGACTTCACTTGGGGGAAGTGACTATATCACCAAGGTGACTGTCCTTGCGTTTCTCCAGAAAGGCTGACCTTGAGGGCCTCCCCAGTGGCGCAGCGGTTGAGCGCTGGGTTGTGAAGCTGCCCGCAGCCTCTGCAGCGCCTGTTCATACCCCGGCCACCTGGTGAGGGTCCCAAATGGCGCGCAGACCTCTCCTGCTGCCCGCTGCTCCCCTCAGCAGTGTACTTTGTCAGTCTGCCTGCTCTGCTCCCCGCTCTGGCTCTGGTAAATTCTCTCACCCTCCCGCGCTTCTGACTGTACCGAGTGCTTGCATAAAAATAAATAAATCTTAAAAAAGAAAAAAAAAGCTGACCTTGATAGAATTCCTCTTGGCCTTGCCTCCAAATATGCCCATTAGCCACTGAGAGAGTTTGATTCACTTCCCCTTTCATTCCTTTTTGCTTAAATCCTACAAAACAATTCGCTCCTTGCATTCTCTCTCTATTTATTCTTTCACAGCTCTACTTAGACTTTTTTCTTCCCCTTTGTAGGACAAAGGCGAGAATGGCAGCGCACGAGCTCTGAGGCCTGAACCACTGCAGTGAGGATGGGAGGCTGAAGTCCGAGCAGCTGTCAGCTCCCCAAATGTCAGGGCCTTCCAGGGACTAGAGGGCCAGGTCTCCACAGGAAGAAGCTCAGACATGGCTCTGCTGACAGGAGGGAAGACAGTCGACCAGGGTCAGGGACAGAGAGACAAAGTTAGCCACATTTTATTTTATTTTATATATATATATATTTTTAAAGATTTATTTATTTATTTAACAAGCACTGGGTACAGTCAGAAGCGCAGGAGGGTGAGAGAATTCACCAGAGCCAGAGGGGAGAGCAGAGCAGGCAGACTGATGAAATACACTGCTGAGGGGA